TAAAAACATTTCCCTTAAGAACAGGGACAAGACAGGGATGCCCACTTTCACCACTCTTATTTAACATAGTACTGGAAGTCTTAGCTACAGCAATCAGACAAGAAGAAAAAATAAAAGGGATCCAAGTTGGAAAGGAGGAAGTGAAACTGTCATTATTTGCAGATGACATGATATTATACAAAGAAAACCCTAAAGACTCCATAAAAAATCTGCTAGACTTAATAAATGAATTTGGCAATGTAGCAGGATACAAAATTAACGTCAAGAAATCAATGACATTCTTATATACCAATGATGAACTCACAGAAAGAGAAACTGAAAAAACAATCCCATTTACCATCATGGTAAAAAAATTAAGATACATAGGAATAAACTTAACCAAAGAAGTAAAGGACCTATTTGCAGAAAACTACAGGACATTGACAAAAGAAATAGAGGAAGATATAAAAAAGTGGAAGCACATACCTTGTTCATGAATTGGAAGAATTAATATCATTAAAATGTCCATATTACCCAAAGCAATCTATACATTCAATTCAATTCCCATCAAAATACCAATGACATATTTCACATAACTAAAAGAAATGCTTCAAAAGTTCATATGGAACCAAAAAAGACCCCAAATAGCCATAGCAATCTGGAAATAGAAGGACAAAGTAGGTGGGATCACAATACCAGATATCAGGTTATACTACAAAGCTACTGTAATCAAAACAGCCTGGTACTGGCACAAGAACAGGCATACAGACCAGTGGAATAGAACAGAGAACCCAGAAATGGACCCAAGACATTATGCTCAATTAATATTTGACAAAGGTGGCAAGAGCATACAATGGAGTAAAGACAGCCTCTTTAATAAATGGTGTTGGGAAAACTGGACAGCTACATGCAAAAAAAATGAAACTAGACCATCAACTTACACCATACACAAAAATAAACTCAAAGACTTAAATGTGACCCATGAATCCATAACATTTCTAGAAGAAAATGTAGGCATCAAAATTTCGGACATTATACACAGCAGAATTTTCACTGATACATCACCTAAGGCAACAGAAACAAAGGAAAAAATGAACACATGGGACTACATCAAACTAAAAAGCTTCTGCACAGCAAAAGAAACAACCATCAAAATAGAAAGGGAACCCACTGTATGGGAGAGCATAATTGCCAATGATACAGCAGATAAGGGGTTAATTTTCAAAATATATAGAGTACTCATACAACTCAACAAAAGGAAGACAAAGACCCAATTAAAAAATGGGCAGAGGAACTAAATAGACACCTCTCCAAACAGGACATACAAATGGCCAAGAGACATATGGAGAAATGCTCAACATCACTAATCATCAGAGAGATGCAAATTAAGACAACAATGAGGTGTCACCTCACACATTTCAGAATGGCCGCCATCAACAAATCATCAAACAACAAGTGTTGGCGAGGGTGTGGAGAAAAGGGGACTCTAGTACACTGCTGGTGGGAATGCAGACTGGTACTGCCACTATGGAAAACACTATGATGTTACCTCAAAAAATTAAAAATTGAACTGCCATTTGACCCAGTGATCCCACTTCTAGGAATATACCCTAGGAAGCCTGAAACACCAATCAGAAAGAATATATGTACCCCCATGTTCATAGCAGCACTATTTACAATAGCTAAGATCTGGAAACAGCCCAAGTTTCCATCAGTAGACTAATGGATAAAAAAAAAAAAAAGCAGTGGTACATATACACAATGGAGTACTATGTAGCTGTAAGAAAGAAAGATCTCTTATCCTTTGAGATGACATGGAGGGACCTGGAAAGTATTATCCTAAGTGAAACAAGCCAAGTAGAAAAAGACAAATACCACATGATCTCACTTATTTGTGGAATATAATGAACATAACAGTCTGAGGAATAGGGTAGACCTAGAGATGTGGAAGTAGGGTACAGACTGACAATCCCCAGAAGAGGGGGTGAAGGTGGGAGGGAAGACATAAACCACAGAACTTATATGCATGTACGCATAACCAATGGAGTTGGACAACAAAGCCGGGGATGGGGTTGGGGGGATGTGGAGGAGGATGTCAATGGGGTAAAAAAGGAGAAACATCTGTAACAAAAATAAAATTAAAACAATCAATCAATAAATAAATGGAGAAGAATCCATGAACCAAGAAATGTAGGCAGCCTCTGGAAACTGGAAAAAGGTAAAGAAACAGACTAATTCTTCCCTAGAGCCTCCAGAAAGAATGCAGGCCTGCTGACACCTTGAGTTTTCCTGCCCAGTGAGACCCACATTGGATGTCTCTCTTATAAACTAGAAGATTATACATTTGTATCATTTTAAGCCACAGGTTTGTGCTCATGTTGTTACAGTAGCTTCTGAAGAACAATATTGTATACATACACTCAAACTTTGGCAAAAACAATTCTAGTCCTCCTGGAAGCTCAGCCACAGACGGATAAAGGCTCCTTGTATAGAAAGAGCTTAAGATACCAACATTCTGAGATGAAGATATGAAACTATTTCTCCTTGGTGGGCATGGAAAGATCAATGCCCACACCGTAACACACTCAGCTCTGAAATCTCACTTCTACAAGGATGGATTCATTCTCTAAAAACTCCTTCAAGTCTCACTTAAATGGCATGTGAGACATTTGTCACTCACTTGACTGCTTCTTGCTACAGAAAGATGTTTCTTCCCTTTCTCAAATTCCTTATCGCTAATAACATTCCCTCCCCATCCCCAAGAAGGTGGCATTTTACACCTGCTGAGATTTAGCCTGGCTTCTTTCCTCACTTTGAGCCAGACCCAAATCGTACGTGTCCTGTTACAGTATCATGTTTCTATCAAGATCTAATTGGGCATGATATGCCTGAACCTGACCATATGCTGACGTAAAAAGGAAGACGGAGGTTATCAGGAATGTGAGCTACCTGACTCAAAGTTGTTTTTAGCCTCAGATCTCATTTCACCAGTTCATCAAGTTTCACAATCCCTGTAATATTTTGAGATTTATTTTTTTTAAAGTACCATTAGAATGTCCCTGGGTGATGCCACCATGGTTGTGACAAGTAACTGTAGTTTGAAGGTTACCAGCCCAGTTTAAATACTAAATGTACTAGGACCAAATCAGAACATGGCTCCTGATCTGCACCTTGACCCCAGACCCTGTGACTGCCCAAACTGGTGCATGGACTTCCTGGAATGGTACTAGACCCTATGAAAGTACAGCATGGAGACTAAAGGGGGAGGGGGGGGCAAGAACAGCAAGGTATTTATGGTCCTGTGGAGGTTTACTTAGGTACAGAAGAAGACAGACCAGATCTGTTTTTGCCAGAAGTGGCCAATCTGTTCAGAAGACAAGTCTTACTTGATGAGGAAGGCTGCCTGATAACCTTGTATCTGGTTCCTGTCCCTGGCCTGCAGAAGAGGTCTGGTAACCTCCTAAATTTTACACACACTGTTGTGCATATGTGCATCTTTTTTCTGAAGAAAGGTGCCACACATCTTTGAGAATCTGAATAAAACTGTGATTCCTTTCCCCCAAAGGTAAGAGTCACCTCCTTCTGCGTTTCATCAGGGGCATTCTAACGCAATACTCTGTCTTACTAATCGTATGTGACTGATGCCCCCCTACCCCATGTAAATGAAATATAAAGTAGTTTTAAGTGGACTAAAAATCTTGAGAAGGTTAATTGCTAATACCATCCCACCCCCAACTCCCACTCCTGCCCCTCAAAGGGTTACCATGAGTTCCATACATAAATAAAAATGATTTCATTTTACTCATTTTCCTTTTTTTTTTTTTTTTTTCCTGTTTTGGGAATATGCATGGGAATACAGTTGGCCTTATTCATGCTGAGAGAGGCAGTCACTAGTCTGGTTGGCGGAGACAGGATCACTGACTAAATTGGTTCTAGTCAGCCTAAAACAGCTTTATTGCAATAAAGCCTCAAATAGGAAGGAGAATGCCCTGATCAGCAGAGAAATGACAAGGCTGAGTCCTACCTGACCTGAGATGGCAACTTGTAAAGAGGGTGATGAAAGGTACCTGTGAATCCAACTGGATAGTGAATCATCTTACTTTGGGGGCCCCCTCTAACTCTTTGAGGTTCTATAATTCTAAATTTAGCATGTTGGATATTTAAAAGCACAATTACACAGCACAGTCTTCTCTGCAGTTGTTGATTCATTTAGACTGCAACCTCAGATAAAAACGTCTAAAGGTCATGCTTGGAAGCACAGAACTCCCTTTCCACTGAGTCAGGGCTACGATTACACCGTACACAAGATCCTACAAAGACAGCTGACACAACTAGTGGTTGAATTCTTTCTTCTGTTTATTTCCAGAAGAGACTTTCCACAGACAGCTGCAATGCCAGGCTCCCATCAGAATGCCATGCCAACCTTGCTGCGGACAGCTTTCTACCCACGTCCTTGCCCTTGACCCACGGCAGTCTCCAGCAGGTCGAGAAGTATCAGGGCCTAAGGGCACCACTGACATCAGCACAGACGCCACACCTGCTATGCCTTAATTAGACATTTGCAGGTTCCAATTCTGATTCAGCTTGTTTCACTTGTGTAACACCAGGCAAATGTCTTAATTTGCCACATTGGGCTGCTCCTCCATGGAGCTATGCGGAAGTGGTGAAAGCTATATGATATAGCATGTAAAAAGCAATTGGCTTGCCATCTACACCATCATCACTATCATTATCCCAGAGAAAAACCTAATCAGCATTTCTCTCCAAGGGCAGGACTATCTCCACTCCTCTCAGAACCTTAAGGCTGGTAATCTTCACACTGAAGACAAAGAAAGTAGGTTATTTACATTTTTCTTAACATCCGACTCAATCATACTCCTTCTAGGCTCCTTTAAGCAGCTTCTTGGACTATAAGGAATGCCAACCGAAGGTCAGGGAGCCTAGGTTTTTGAGGGGTGGGGGTGGCAAGCCTTCAGGAGTGAACCCCAGGCACAGCACAACTCCCACACCAAAGGGCCCACCTTGGTTGAAGCCGCACTGTTTCTTGGCCCCTGAATGTGTGGTTCTGTGGACTCTCACGGGCTGGCGTTCCTGCTCTCCCCCGACACTCTGGCTGGCTGGGCGCCACATGCTCTGTCTCCTGTAAGAAGAAACAGCAAAAGTAGATGAGCTGTCAGCAGTCAGTTCCACAGCGCCCTGCGGCTGGGGGGGGGGTCTCAGGGCCGGGGTGTCTCAGGGCAGGGGGGTGGCCGTATACAGCACACTGCCAAACTGTAGCGGGGTGAGGGGGCCAGCACATGACCTCACATTTAAAGTTTTCTATCAGTCAGTTATTGCAAGATAGCAGAAGAAAGAAAAATATATAATAAAATCACCTAATTTCAAAAGATACACTTGGCCATACTATAAAAATTTTACATTAAAAATATTATAAAAGCCTATTTAATAAATAGGTCTGAAAATACAAATTTTAGAATAATATTTATAGTATAGGATCATTTTTGCAAAAACCAACACACACACACACATACACACACACACACACACACTATTGCCATTAGCTACACTGCATCCAAAGAAATTGCTACATTGGTCATCTCATGATGCACTCTACTCAGTAATTAAAAAAAAAACAAAAAAAAAAAAAACGCATAATGCTGAACTCTATAGAGAATATCATGAACACACCCAAGTGAAATGAATCTGGATTCAATACACCAATAATGGAAGATTTATATATGTTCAGCAGCTGAGCCACTACAGTGTTTGAGCCAAATCAAACCTCTAACAAATTTCCCTTAGGATAAAACACCCTTTCTTTACCTGATAAATGAAATACTAAAGCCAAAATTAGTGAGAAATTCAGAATTTAGATGGCTACAGTCATGCAGTCAAAATATTCGAGAGACACAGTGAATTTGGGTGTGACAGGGCAGTCTACTGTGGAGGCAACATACACCAAGCTCTATTAAGGGTGTGGGGGAAGCCAGTCCTAGTGCCAACGTGTCAGGCACCTCAGAAGTCATTTGGTGGAGCTATTTGCCAAATAGTTATCACAAGTTTCTAAAACAAAATCATAGGAATGGCTTCCTATAAGAGGGTTAAATAGGGGGTCCAGGGGGAGCAGAGTTGAGAAAAAGCAATGAGCTGGGCCTGCCAAGATCCTTTAATTCCATTTTCTAAATTCCCAGCTTCCGGCAAGAAGACATTTCACATGAAAGGGTTCCATTAGTACACACTAGTTCCCTAGACTTAGTAGCTACTGTGAAAAATTCTATAGCTACCCAAATACTGGGCAAGTTGCCCCAAACAATAGTTTTTAAGCGAGATGAGCTCTGATTGCTACTTGCTAAGCAGACCTCAGCTTCCTTGTCTGTAAAATGGGGATGATGCTCCAAGCTCACAAGGTTGTTGAACAAGACCTTATTAGAACCCCTTTCAGTGCCTGCCAACCGAAGGCATACAGTAGATGGGAGCTATTCATGATGATCATAATATTTCTTTTTAAAAAATCCCCTTGAAGCTTAATATTCTGAAACAAGTGTTAAGGAAGAGTTCGGTAAAAAAACAAACCTATTTTTATGGTAGAATGCTTATTTCAGGTTCCCATACATATAATGATATTATTTTAAACATCATATTTAGAAGCCTCAATACATGAAGGCCTAAAGAAATGGCCCTTTTAATCTCTAAAATGTTTTAATATGAAATTACCACTTTATTAAAACTTGAGCCTTTTAGGGAAAAGTAGAGTGTGCTTTTGGTTTGTTTATTTTGTTTGTTTTTTAATTTTCAAAGATAGCATTGTATCTAACCCTTTGAACCCAGAAGGGGTTGAGAAGGGTTAGAGGCCACAAACCCCTGGAATCCCTTGGATTTTACGATTTATTTTAGAGATAAATAAGAGGAGCTCTGAAGAAAGGGTTGCCTAATCTGGGAAAGTCAGAGACCTCAAATCACTGCAAAAAAACAATTTCTGATATGGTGGATAAGGAATATTTTCAGACAGCTGACAAGCAAGTCCCTAATTCAAATGGAGGGGGAAATGGCATTGTCAACAATGCTTCTTCTGTCCCTCTAGAATTTAAAACTTAGAGATGGTATGGAGAGTTGGGAAAGAGGAAGTAAGAAATTTGGTATAAGTCGTCCTGAGTACTAACCAATAGAGTAGACCCTGATGCAAAATACAGGCTTAATTGTTGCACTGCCTTTTCCAATGACAAAATGTTAGGTCATCCTCCAAAGTGCTGATCTCCAAAACCCCCGAGATCAGAACCCAAGTTCAGCCTCTCTCAGAAAATGCCAAATGGGTCCTTTCTCCCAAAGCTCCTATGAGTTTGAAAGTTATTTTGTTCATAAGAAAAAGAATCAACATTTTCAGTTTAGTTCCTTCCTCTCCATTGTCTCTTCATGGAATAGTCCTATATCAACTAACAGCCCTAGAAAAGCTCACATGGGAATCAGTGACCCTTCAGATGATTCTAACCTGGAGGCTACACAACTTCCAATTGAGGTCCCAGGCAGCACGGAGCAGAGATAAGACCTCCCTGTTGTCCCAAAGTGAATTCCTGATTTATAGAAACTATGAGAGGTAAAATATGATCACTGTTATTTCATGTTTTAGGGTGATTTGTTACACAGCTATAGATAACTAAAACACCACTACCTTTACTCTATTCTAAGATACCATCAATTATAAAAGCTATCATCAGTTTGATTAAACAACAGCTTTCAGGGGGGAAAAATGATGCCACATTAAATGCATCCATCAATTTTAAGGTGTAGTCAGCTATGAGAAAAGTGAAAGGGTGAAAATGTGTGTTAACATAAAGGAACTACATAGCATGCCCAGCAGAGAGAGCATGGTACTGTGTGTGGCACAAAAGAGGTCTTACCAAGGAGACACACAAGACAAAGCAACTTCAAGAATCTTATCTGGAAGACTAAATAACCTCACCCAGAATATTGGCATGAACCACACTCTTTATTTGCCCCAGTTTTTAAAGATAATTTTATGCTTTCTCCCAAAGTCGGAAGGCAAACGTCAAGGAAATGCCTTACTTACTGAATTAATAGAACAGTGGGTTTCAAGCTATTGTGTTGCTAGTTACTACGTATTCATAAGGCTATAAAGGAAAAAATACAAAGTGAGAACAATAATACTCAACCCTATTTATCTGGTTCTCTAACAGAGACCGAGCCAGACACATGAGCAAGCAGGACTCACCCTCTTGGTGAGCTCACATCTCTGTTCCAGCTGGACTCCACCCCCTGGCCACAGGACTGCCAAAGAAAGTCCTTATGGTACATAATGTACTTGTGGATGCTTGCGAGTTAACATATTCTCCCCATCGCCCACCCCAGGTGACAACATCTGGACAAGAAATAAAGGAAATATTTGAGTACCTTCGCCCATTTAAGCTTCATTTCATCTTTGTTCAGAATCTGCTGTAACACGCAGCTCGAAAATTCTAGAACATTAAAGCAGAGTGTTTATCTTGAAATAATTACGACATTTTTACTTAAAAAGAAATCACCTACTACATGCCCAGGATGTTGATAGTTAAAGAGGTTAGAGAGTGAACATACCTAGGATGTTGATGGCTAAAGAGGTTACAGAGTAAATAAGACATTCCTCCCCCAAAGAACTGTGAAAACCTACTGTTTGACAAAGACTAAAGTGCTAGAGGAAAGACTGTTTGTTTCTGTGTTAATGCATTTATCACATGGGCAGGTCCAAGCTGACCGAGGGGAATGAGAAAAGACAAGCCAAGATCCTCTCCTCCAGGCTTGTCCTCCTGCCACCTGGCCAGGCCTAGCCTGGTGGGCACTGCCTACTCCCAGCCATCCGCCTCCACCCTCTGACTCAGCTCCCGTATGTCCAAGTCCAGCCTAGTGATTTGTTACATGCAGGAGAAATCAAATTGACTGAGCTCCGAGATATTTCATGAGAAAGCTGTCCATAAAACAAATGTTATTTGGGCTATTTTCTGATTCATAAGCAGAGGCTAAGAGAGAAGCTGTCTATCACGCTGAGAGGCTCAGAAACCCAGCTGAGGTAAGGAAAAATCAGCTGCCCCTAAGCAGAAACGATGCAATATTTTTTGTCCTTGTTAGGCTTTCAGTGAGCTCAGCTGACTCTTGTAGAATTTGAGAGAATCTAGTTTTGACCCAACAGCATGGCCACTACCTTCAGGCCCCTGCAAGGTCCCCAGTGTGTACAAATGCAAGACCCAGAGAAAGAAATTTTTCCACCCTAATGCCAGGTCTTGCCCATCTTCTCTAGCTTGCTCCAATCAGAATGTTAGCATATCACCTTGGGCCTCAAGGACAAATGCATCCTCTAAATCTTTCTTCCAAAATGTGGTCAACCAAAATATTAACTTTTTTCATCTTTTCACCTTGAGGTTTTATTTGTGTCCAGTCTAGTCCAAAAATGATCAAATGTTTTCTTCATCTGCTGGCTTAAGTTTTTATGAAATGGTTTGATAATTAATCACTCCATTGCTAATAATAATATCTTTAATTTATGAGAGCATGTTCTCCCCAAGAGCTCTATTTACTACATGATTAATACATCTGATATCGGCATAGTTTGGAAAAGCATATATATTCAGCACTTAGCTCAAACAAGGGTGGTATAAATCTATCTACTCCTAGCTCACCCTAGCGTTGCTTTTACCTTAATCCTGTCAATATAAATAGCAAACTCCTTGTGAATTTGGGAATTTTAAAGGCCTTTTCCCCTGATTAAACGAACTATTGTATTATCACAGTCATTTAATAATTGGAAGAAAGGAGGCCCTGGAAAAACTGATTTAAATTTCCTTTTAAAATTGTGTGTCTGTTTATTACAGACATACCTTAAAATATTGCAGGTTTGGTTCCAGACCACTGCAATAAAGCAATTTGTAATCTTTTTGCTGGTGTAGGGTCCTGCCTTCAATTTGCAAAAACAAAACAACACATGCCAAAAAAAAGCAACATCTCTGGAGTACAATAAAGCAAAGCACAGTTAATGAGTAATGCCTGAATTTAAAATATTCTGGCCCTTTAAGAAGCAGAAAAACAAGAGAACTGTTTCTTCAGACCTATATTTTAAATAATGTCTGCCTACCTTAGTCACTAGTTCAACAGAGA